CCTGGGACCTCCCCCTTGCTCCGCAAGGGGAAGACCGTGGTGTAGCGCGAGTAGTCGTCAACAACCAGCAGAAAGTATCGCTCGCGGCCCAGTCCACTGACACGGGCCGGGCCCCACACGTCCATGTGGAGAGTCTGCAGGGAAGCAGTCGTCGGGGGGAACGAGGAGGAGTGAGGAGCGGCGCGCTGCCGCCCCTCGACGCAAGGAATGCAGGGCGGGGCAGGCGAGGGCGGGAGGGGAAGCAGAGACCTGGGAAGACCAGAGACAAGGAGGCGGGAGTGCATGCCACGAAGGCGTGGCAGGGAGGGGTGACCAAGGCGGTGGTGCCAAAGGAGAGTCTGGTGCGACAGGAGGCGACACTTGCGGGGGGGCTGCTACCTGACCTGACGTAGACACCTGACCAGACGCAGCGACCTGAGGAGGCGCAGTAGTCAGTGTGTACAGACTCGACCCAGGCCGACGGGTGAACGTGGCCAGGTGACGGCCAGTCCGTGCACACGTGCAGATCGACACACGCTGACCCCCAGGAGTGGTGGTAGTGACCATCGCATCCTGGAGTGCATCGATACTCACCAAGTTCGTAGAGAAAGAGGGGAGGTGAAGACTTGAGAGTGAGCCAGATGGAAATGCCAGACACGGGAGAACAGTGGAGGAACGTGCAAGAACTGGGCCCCCTGAGGGGTCAGCCAGGGAGACTGCAACAGGTGTAGGGAGTTGTCTGCCTGTGTTACTGTCGCGAAAGAAGCAGCGGGAAGCACCTGAGTCAAGCGTGAAGGTGTGCAAGGCCTCAGGCGGCGCAGTACCAGAGAGAGCAGACGCACTAGCACCTAGAGCAGCAGCATCTATACATGGGTTGGGCAGTACACACAGGTAACAGTCACCCTCAGCACTAACAGTCAAAGCATACATGCCAGCAACGATAGCGTCATAGTCAAAAGCAAAGATCTCCACATTGTTCCTAAGCAGCTCTAGCCAGCGGGGGAGCTTAGCCTTGTCGCCAAACTCTGCGCGCCAGGCGTCGTCAAGACGGGCGAAGTAGCGGGACTGTGTGTGACCAACCTTCCCGCATGTCTGACCAGCCCGATCACCTGTGCGAATGACGTACGGGCAGCGAACACTACCCCCAGACGCCCCACGCTGAGCAAACCACTCACACAGCTGTTGGGGCGTAAGGGTCTCGCTGGGACGCTGTTGCTGCTGCCGCTGGCCACCGCCAGAACCGCTCCTCTGGACAGCTCCACCCCGACTGCCACCACTGCCGCCGCCACCATTTCCACCGCCGCCACCACTGCCGCCGCCACCACTCCCACTGCTGCCATGGCTACCACCACCACCCCCACCGCTGCCGCCACCGCCGCCACCGACGCCCCCACTCCCGCCACCACTCCCACCGCCACCTCCACCGCCACCTCCACCGCCTCCACCGCCTCCACCACCACCCCCCCCCGCCGCCACCTCCACCACTCTTGCCTCCCTTGCCCTTGCCGCTGCGGCGCTTCCCACTAGGAGCAGAAGCAGCACCGACCTCCTCAGCACCAAGGAAGTCGACAGCAGCAGCAGAAGCAACAGAGGGGGCAAGGGGGGAGGGGGATCACACTTCAAAGAAGGGCGTGCTAGGAAGCGACGATATTGGTCTCAGCCGCAAGGAGCTGCTCCTCGAACAGGTCGACAGTGAGGTCTGTGGGGTCAAGGGCGAGAAAGTGGTCCCTGACAGCGCGAAGAGAGTCAGGGAGGCGGGTGACAATGAAGTAGAGAGTGATGTATATCGGGGGGGGGGGGGGGGGGGGGGGGTCTTGTCTAAGAACTCGGGTTTAAGCGCATCGCGGTAGCAAGCATCGCTAGTGCGAAGGTGGGTGATGAGGTCCGCAACTGTGGCAAAGGAGGATTGCTCGGGAAAGAGGTAGGGCAGGATGAGGCGGCCGAGAGCAGCAGTGGCAGGGGAGGAGTAACGAGCGACTACAGCGTCGTACAGGGCCTTAGCAGTCTTGTGCTTGCCCAAGTGAGCGCGTTCGGCTATCGGCAGGTGGTTGCGAACGGCTAGGTGAGTGGTAGCATCTCGTGAAAGCCATTGTGAGCGAGTCGCAATGTCAGCTGTGTTGGGATGGGAGAGAGAGGCGCCAGACATGTGGTCAAACAACGAAACGCAGTCACTAATATCGCTCAGTAAGATTAGCTGTAAGTCCTCGAGCCAGGTCTCAAACTGGATGGTTCGACCCTCAGGATCGAACTCGAGAACGCTGAGGGTAGCCATAGCTAGCAGAGCGGTGTTTAGGGCAGGGCAGAATGGTAGCGCGCGGGCTTCAAAGGGCGGTGCGCAGGTAGGCAAGGGCAGCGCGCGGGCTCTGAAAGGGCGGGGCGCAGGCAAGCAGGAGTGGCGCGCGGCAAGCGAGGCGGCGCGCGGGACCGTAAAGGGCTGCGCGCGGGCAGGCAGGGGCGGCGCACGGCTGGCAGGGCAGCGCGTGGGCAGAAAACGGGCCGCGTGCGGCCAGCAGGGCTGCACGCGCGCAGGCAGGGGTGGCGCGCGGCTGGCAGGGCAACGCGCGGGCAGAAAACAGGCCGCGCGCGACCAGCAGGGCGGCGCGCGGGCAGGGCAAGGCGTGCGCAGGGCTGTGCGACGCAGGGTAGGGCGTGCGTGGACAGCGCGACGCAGGGGAGGCGTGCGCGGGTGGCGCGACGGGCAGGGTAGGGCGTACGCGCGCGGCGCGACGCATGCAGGCGTGTGCAGGGCGGCGCGACGCAGAGCAGAGCGCGCGCAAGCGGCACGACGCGAGCAAGGCGCGCGCAGGGCGGCGCGACAGAGAGCAAGGCGTGCGCGGGCAGCGCGACGCAGCGCAAGGCAGGGCAAGGCGTGCATGGGGCAGCGCAACATAGGGCAGGGCAGGGCAGGGCATGTGCGTGTGGTGGGGCAGCGCGACGGACAGGGTACGATCGGTGGGCCCTAACGAGAACGGTCCTGGGAACAGGACCTACTCTAAAACCATGTCAAGATACTGAACGTGAATGAATGAATTGAGAACAAGCTATCTGGGTACAAGTACTAACCCTAATTGGGTTGTACCCCTTATGGGCTACCCCACTACAGCCTACACAACATAATGTTTTGACACATTAATTAGACCATTTGGGTGTTGTGGGGTTGTGTCTCAATTTTGTTGTAAGATATGGTTGCAATTTTTTACTCTTTGCTCACTCTTTTGTAGAGACGCGTGTCGTAACACATTGGTGGTTTGGCTTGGAACTTCTGTTTTGCGAGCGGAGGAAGTTTTCGTCAACTCGTCAACAATGGTGATTTCGCTGTCGCACACTGCAACGTACGGCTGTTGAACCTTCTGTGGCCCACACATACCTCCAGGGTGTGATAGTTGACACTGTTTGGAGTTATCCTTGAGATCATCCAGGCTCTTCCAGGCAATGCCACCCACGTCAAACTTCAAGGCGATGGACCAATGCACGAAGTCAAACGTTACAACTGCCCGATTTACAAAATCGCTCATTTGATGAGCCTATTTTCCCGCAGGCAGTAATTCACCAAAGTAGCAAATGAAGCCTAATACATTATACGCATCCATCTCGGTCAACAAATTCACGTACAGTTCTGTACTGTCGGTGCAAAACAAGGACGTTTGCCTTGATTGTACAGTGCAGTAGCGTCGGGTTACAGTTGTACTCACTCGCACCACCCGCACACACCCAGGAGTTCCCAATGGGGAAAAAAGGACCAAGAGACTACAGTTGTTCTCGTTTAAAGTCCGACGGAGAAACACGCCGCGCGCGGACTATATGTCAAAATGTCCGAAACCCCGGGCAAACGGGACCCTATAGTCCCAAATTCGAGAAAATTGCATGAAAAGCGGTTTTTTGTCTCTACTGGTTGTTGTTTTTTGTCATATACGTACGTATGGACCGCGCTTGCTTCAACTTCTCGTCGAACGGTTTTACGCGTTATCAGTGATGCGTGAAAAACGGGCAGAAATAAACAACATCGATTATGTTTGATGCCATAATAAGTTTGTCTTTTTGTTTTTCCTTCCTGTCAGCGAGATTACTGAGATGTCATCGTGGAGCGCGCTAGGAATCGCGCGACGGGAATAAGAAACAAGCGCGGTCAAGATAAACAAAAAATATCAGTTGTCAATGTTTACTTCAAAACAAAACTGCCCTTTTTAGCATTCTCCGTAAATGTTCAAGGCACTTATACGTGCAATGAACCTGGTCAAAAAAGGGACTGTAGAGGAGGGGCCACACCTAGGAATTAAAGGAAAAAGCTCCTCATTCTGAAAATGGGACTTTGTGAGCGCGGGACTTTATAGCGGAACCATTTGTAACTCCATTTCACTCGATCGATCAATCTGTGTTTCGTTCGTTTCGTTTCCTCCTCTGTTCTCTGTTACAGGCTTCAAGCCATCTATGTTCGCTTCTGCTCCTCCGCACTACCCTTGGCTTCGAGTGCCTCGCCTCGCCTCCCTCCCTGCTCGTTTTGTGTTCATGGCATGGCACACGTCTGATCATTTCTCATAGAAACGGAGGTGCAGCGACTTCGAAAAAGTCAATAGGCAATCGATGCCTAGAGAACTGGAATCCGGCAAGCCAGGCTGTGAGGATAATCGCGAGTGTTCGACGTGCTAGAAACTGTCGGTTAGCGCGTTAATAGTTTCGGACCCCAGATTAATTCTGCTCAACAGAATGCTAGAATGTAACGGCGATTTAAGGTGGCGTTGTTTCAGAAGAGACGCTTTTGAAGGGACCGGTTGTTCTGGAAGAGTCTTTTGCTCTGCGCGACTCAAAACTCGCCCTTTTAGCGATTTCCAGCGACACAGGTGACGCGCTCTTTGTTTTCCAATCGTGATGGCGCTCTGCGTAGCAGATTGGGGCAGGGAATTCGCAGAACCAGTACAATCGAAGCCAGGGCCGGCAAAGATCTCTGCCGTTGCCTCTGACGGGCGCTTCTAAACGTCCGGAAGTTCCTACGTCAGCTACCGGTCAGCTGCCCGCCGTCCACCATGCCTCGCATCCTACGGCAGCTGCCGCTGCTCCGCAGCAGCAGCAAAGAGGAGCGCGGCGCGCCGCTAGAGCGCCCGAAGACCGCCCTTCCTTCCGCCATCCCCGCGTGCTCTTCCGTCGGCCCTGCGCCGAGTCACGTGTCTTCCCTCCTCGAGCGCAAGACGTCGCTCCCCTCATTCCTCCCGCGCAAGTCTTCTGTGGAGCAGCCGCGCAAATCTCTCGCGGAGCAGCGCCCGGCGGAGCGCCCGCTCCGCGAGGGTACCCCCGCGCTGCGCCCCAAGTCCCCGCATCACCTGGAGTGGGTGCGCCAGCTGTCGCTCTGGCAGGGCGCTCAGGCGCAGCAGGGGGAAGCGCAGGCGCAAGCGCGCGGCGACGCGGAAGGACGGCCCGCGGCCCAGGGGGCGGAAGTTCCGCGGAACGGACAGCTGAACGCGTCGCAGGGGAAGGCACGCGGAGAAGCGCATGGATCCGCGCAGGATGCACGGAAAGGGGGAGCGCGGAAGGACGATGCGCGGACGGGGCACGTGTCTCGGCGGAAACAGTTTGTGAAGCGGATAACGAGCCGGACCGCGGATGCCTACTGTCTCCCTGAGGCGCCACTTCAAGACGTGTGGGAGGCAGCGGAGGCGGGAAGATTAGCTGTTTGGGTGGATCAGACGGACGGTGGAGATGAAAAAGGGATAGAATCGGACGGTCGGGATGCGCTGCAGCAGAATGGATTTGTTGCGGGGATGGAGGGTCAGTCGCAACAGGCGTGTCAATTTTCTGTTACTGTCTCCGTTAATGGTGTTTCCGTTAGTAGCTCAGGATCGACAACGAATTACGACGCTACGGATACTGCCGTCAGTCCGACGCCCGAGAGCCGAATTATTTCGACAAGCAGATATGCCACAAAGGGATCTGCTACAAAGGCGGTCGTTCCCGGAGCGACTGACGGCGCCGCCGCTGCTGGCGACGCGACGGTTGTAGTACCCAGGAGTCAAAGCGCGGCCGCCGTTGTAGCCGCAAGTGAAGCTACAGCCGCGGCGGCTGTAGCGCGGAGTTCTAGCAGCAGCGCGCCGCGCTACAGCCGGGCGGGGGCCATCGGCGTAGGTTGGTGCGCGCTGCTACCGCCAGCAGCGCATCCATGGAGCTGCGCGGATGGGACGGGGGGAGCGGGGAGGGGGATGGGGGAGGGGGAGGGGGAGGGGAAGGGGATGGGGAATGGGAAAGGGGAGGGGGAGGGGAAGGGGAAGCAGCGAGGCAATTAGAAGGGGGAGGATGAGCGGAGCAGATGGGGAAGCAGAGGGGGAAATAGCGGCCGTCAAGGCTGCGTTTCAGGCTCGGAGGTCCCAAACCTTGTCCGGCCGAGTCGTTGGGTTTTCCCCGAGCCCACCCGGTAGCTTCGGCAGCACGTTTGACAGCACCGTTTCCCGAACCGAGTCGTACGGCAGTGACTGTAGCAGTGTGACTCTAGATGGGGGGAGAGGGAGAGGAGGAGGAGGGGAGATTGGGAGAGAAAGGGGAAGAGAGCGCAGATGGCCTGCTGGAGCTCAGAATCTCTCTGGTGCTGACGTGGCTGCTAACCTGGCAGCTGCTGAGCTGGCAGCAGCAGAAGGTGACACGTCAGCAGCATCCGACCTGTCACCGGCAGATGCAGTGGCAGCAGGGATAGTCGCCTCCGCGTTTTTCACCCGGAAGTCCCACACCATGCGGAACCGCATGGTACCACTCACCACCATGGCAGTTACCACTCCCAGGGCACCTGGCACTGCTGCTGCTGTGGCCACTCCGGGGCGGAAGGGCGGCAGGGGGAAGGGGAGGCGCGGGGGGCGCCCGCCGACTCCGTCTACAGGGGCTGCGGCTGTGGTCAGTCCGGGGGGAGGGGGAGGCGGAGGGGGAGGCGGAGGGGGAAGGAGAAGGGGAGGGGGAGGTGGGGGAGCCAGTCCGGGAGCAGCAGGGGGAGGTAATGGAGTGGTGAGCCCAGGGGGCGGTAGATCTGGTGCAGGTGCAGGGATAAGCCCGGGGGGAGGTAGAGCTGGTGCAGGTGCAGGGATAAGCCCGGGGGGAGGTCCGGGGGGAGGTAGAGCTGGTGCAGGTGCAGGGATAAGCCCGGGTGGAGGTCCGGGGGGAGGTAGATCTTGCGCAGGTGCTGCAGGGATAAGCCCAGGGGGAGGTAGAGCTGGTGCAGGGAGTTCCAGGAGGCAGCCTGCTGACGTGGTGAGTCCAGGGGGGGTAGCAACGCAGGGGGAGTTGCAGGAGCCGTCCTTTGAGATGCCTATTCAACACCACCCACCGGAGGTGCTATTTATTGAACAGCCAGCGCCAAGGTCACAGGCGGTAGAATCTATGGTGAGAATGGCGGAACGCGCGCAGGTGTTACCTGGGGGAGGCGCAACTGGGAGGGCGCAGGTGTTATCTCTGGAAGTGCCGTCCCCCGGGCCTTCCCCTGGGCCCAGCTGTGGGATGGACTGGGAGGGGATGGAGATTGGGGAGGGGGAAGGGGCGGAGGAGGGAGAGGAAGAGATTGGGGAGGAGGGGATAACGGAAGGTAAGTATAGCTTCAGTTGGGAGAGAGGAGAGTTTAGGGAGGAGGGGTGGGGTGGTGAGGAGGGGGGGGTGGAGGGGTCGGGGGAATGGAGGGAGGAAGGGTGGGAAGGATGGAGGAGGGAGAAGGGGGTGGGCAGAGGGGGGGAAGAAGAGGAAGGAGAGGATGAGGAGGAAGAAGAAGAGGGGGAGCAGGGGGAGGAAGGAGAGGAGGAGGACGATGCGGAGTTCTGCTCGCCTACGTGGCGCGAGTGGCATGCCTCGGCGTTTCTCGAAGAGGGGGAGTTGGGGGAAGGCATCGGGGTGGGGGAAGACATGGGGTTGGGGGAGGGCGGAGGAGCGAGAGAGGCCGACGGGGCGAGGCAGTGTGGTGCACAAGGGGACGGACGGCAAGGGGATGCAGGCGAGGACGAGTATTACATGTGAGTCCCATCCCATGTGGATGAGTGGTGCCTTTTGAGTCCACTCAAAAGTCACCTTTGAGGTCGTTTTTGAGGCGCCTAAAAAACGACCTCATTTTGAGGCGCCTCAGAAACGACCTCATTTTGAGGTGCCTCAAAAACGACCTCATTTTGAGGCGCCTCAAAAACGACCTCATTTTGAGGCGCCTCAGAAACGACCTCATTTTGAGGTGCCTCAAAAACGACCTCATTTTGAGGCGCCTCAAAAACGACCTCATTTTGAGGCGCCTCAAAAACGACCCCATCCCATGTGGATGGGTGGTACCTTTTGAGTCCACTCAAAAGTCACCTCCATGATGAGTGTTACATGTGAGTCCCATGTGGATGGGTGGTGGTTCGTGTGGAGTTTTAAAAGCCGCTTATAATCCCTTATCTAATGACCCCTTCTCTTATAACCCCTCCACCTCCTCCTTTCCTCCTCAAACTCTACTGGAAGCTCCATTCCCCTTTTCTCAGCGCCTTCTCACAGGTTCTCACTCCGTTCTCCCTTGCGCTCTTCTCCCAGTCTGTTCGTCTGTCTTCGCCCTTACCTCCACGCTTTTCGCCCCCCCTCCACCACTACTCCCTTTTCGCCCCCCCCTCCACCACTACTCCCTTTTCGCCCCCCCTCCACCACTACTCCCTTTTCGCCCCCCCTCCACCACTACTCCCTTTTCGCCCCCCCTCCACCACTACTCCCTTTTCGCCCCCCCTCCACCACTACTCCCTTTTCGCCCCCCCTCCACCACTACTCCCTTTTCGCCCCCCCTCCACCACTACTCCCTTTTCGCCCCCCCTCCACCACTACTCCCTTTTCGCCCCCCCTCCACCACTACTCCCTTTTCCCCCTACCTTCCCCTCCCCTCCGGAGCACCCCCTGCGTTCAGGCCCCTATTTGTCGTGTCTTTTGAGTCGACTCAAAAGTCACTACGTTCCCCTCCCTTCCGGGACATCCCCTGCAATCAGGCCCCTATTCGTTGAAAGCAGCGCTTCCTCCTTTCCCTCTCCCCTCCCAAATCGCCCCCTTTTCCCCCACTTCCCCCCTTCCCTCTCCCCCTCCCCCCTTCCCTCTCCCCCTCCCCCCTTCCCTCTCCCCCTCCCCCCATCCCTCTTCCCCGCCCCCCTTCCCCTCCCTTTTTCCCCTTCCCCCTTCCCTTCCCCCTTTCCCCTCCACCTTTCCTCTCCCCACTTCCCCTCCTCCTTTCCGATTCCCACCCTTCCCCTTCCCGCTCCCCGCTCGTCCTACCTAACCATCCCCTGCAGGCCCCTATCCGCTGGGAGTAGCGCGTCCCCCATCCCAAACCATAGGCGCGATTTTTCTTACATCCAATAGCCGTCCCACCCATATCCCCCCCTCCCCCCGTATTCTCCCCAATCCAACCTTTCCCCCAATCATCCCCTGCAGGCCCCTATCCGCTGGGCGTAGCGCCTCGCCCCTTCCCTCTCCCATCCCACCCCTTTTTTCTTTTTCCCACCTTTTCCCCCCTCTTCCCCTCCTCTCCCCCCAATCCCTCCCCATGAGGCCCCTATCCCGCTGGAAGCAGCGCTTCCCCCTTTCCAGCATCCCATAGGCTCCCGCCCCCCTTTCCCCCTCCCCCCCCTCTTCCCGCCTCCCCTCCCCCTGAATACTCCCCGTCAGGCCCCTATCCGCTGGGAGCAGCGCCTGCCCCCTTCCAGCATTCCACACGCTTCCACCTCTCTCTCCCTCCCCCCTGACCTTCCCCCCCCCCAATCCCCCTCCCTCTCTCCCCAAACACCCCTCTGCAGGCCCCTATCCGCTGGTAGCAGCGCCTCCCCCCTTCCAGCATCCCACAGGCTCCCACCCCGCTCTCCTCTCCCCCGAGCCAAGAAGCCAGGCTCGGGAGCCTCCGTACCTGTAACACCGAACCAAACCAGTGGCCCTGGCTGGAGAGTTGCCAAGCCTGAGGCTCCGAACCGAGGCAGCTCGGGTCAAAGCCCTGGTTACCCTGTTACTGGCATGAGGAGGAGTAAGAGTTCCCCTAGAATCAAGAAGAGAGGGGGAGAGGGAGGGGAGGGGGAGAGAGAGAGGGTAGTGGTAGTGAGAGCAGCAACTGTTGCAGAGAGAAGGGGTGTGGAAATGCAGTTGCTTTTGCAGCAGCCACAGCGGGACCAGCAGCAGGGGCAGCAGCAGCAGCAGCAGCAGCAGCAATGGGAGCAGGAGCAGGGTGCAAAAGCAGGGAGGTCGAGGGTTGTTCAGCGCAGGTCCAGCAGCTATCATGGTGTTCCTGGTTCAGGAGGGGAGGCGTCTCGGGTGGTATCTTTCAGCACTGCTGCTGCTGCCGCTGCTGGTGCTGCTGCCGCTGGTGGTGGTGGTGCTGCTGGTGGTGATGGTGGTGGTGCTGCTGCTGATGGTGGTGGTGGTGCTGCTGCCATTCCCTATTGCACCTCATCTGCTGCTGTCCCTCCTACTCCCACTTCTGCTGCTGCTGCTGCTTCTGCTGCAGCCGCGAAACGCCAAGGGGCCAAAGCGCTAAGAGGCCGCTCCAAATCACTCGTTGACGATTGCACTTGGGACCTCGTCGCCCATCCTAATGGCACTGCTATTCTCGCCGCCACCACCGGCGCCTCCGCCGCTGCTGCTCCTGCTGAGAGTGCTATTCCTGTGGCAGTGCGAAGGGTTGAAACACTGAGAGCTCGTTCCAGGTCACTCGTTGATGATCGCGCTTCTGACCCCTTTTCCAATGCTAATCTTACTGCTATTGCCAGCGCCGCCGCCGCCACCTCTCCTGCTGATGGTGAGATTCCCATGGCAATGCGAAGTGCGGGAAAACTGCAGCAGCAGCGAATGGATATGCAAAGGGCTGAGACGCTCAGAGGTCCGTCTAAATCTTACTTAAAGGGTAGCGCTTTGGAGCAGCAACAACCACTTGAAATGCGGCGAGCAGAGACGTTAAGAGGACCTTCTCGATCCCACATGAGGGGTAGTGCTTTAGAGGAGCAGCTGCTGCAGCAGCAGCAGCAGCAGCAGCAGCCTATCGCCATGCGACGAGCAGAAACACTGAGAGGCCCGTCTAAATCCTACTCAAAGGGTAGTGCTCTGGAGCAGCCACAGCCAGCTGAAATGCGGCGAGCAGAGACATTGAGAGGACTTTCTAGATCCGACTTGAGGGGTAGTGCTTTAGAGCAGCAGCAGCAGCAGCAGCAGCAGCCAGTTGAAATGCGGCGAGCAGAGACACTCAGAGGGAGGTCTGGAAGCATGAAAGTTGATCCGACGGTCCAGAAAGGCGATTACCGGGAGATGAGGCGATCTGAGACGCTGAGAGGGCGGGCGAGATCCGGCCAAGTGGATCCGACGGTTCAGAATCACTGTGAGGTGGTGATGAGGCGAGCGGAAACGCTGAGAGGGACGGCGAGATCAGACTTCATTGGTGTCGGTGTAGAGCAGCGGCAGCAGCAGCAGCAACAGCAGCAGCCGCAGCCAGTTGAAATGCGGCGAGCAGAGATGCTGAGGGGACGGCCTGGATCCACGCAAGTGGATCCGACGATTCAGAATAGAGGCGATTACCGGGAGATGAGGCGAGCAGAGACGCTGAGAGGGAGAGCGAGATCAGATTCATTCGATCTGCTTTCTCAGGGCGAGCCGGGGGGTATGAGGCGTGTGGAAACGCTTCATGGACGGTCCAGATCGATCCAAGCAGATCCTGTAGCTCAGAATGATCCTGTGGGGCAGCAACAGCGCTTAATTAAGCGGCAGGAGGGAATGAGCAGGGGAAAGCGTCCTTCCAGTGTGTCCCCATCTGATGTCTCTCCTGTCGGCCTGTCGACCCACAGTGTCTCTCCTGCTGCTGGTGTGTCTCCTTATAGTGCATCTCAATACAGTGTATCCCCTGCCACAGGTGTGTCTCCTTATAGTGTGTCTCCCTACAGTGTGTCACCTCACAGTGTGTCCCCCACTGGTGTATCTCCGAACGTGTGTGCAACGAGTTGGGGGATGCAACAAGGAGCAGCAACGCTCACAGACAGGAGCAGAAGCAGAAGCAGGAGCAGCTCTGGGGAGGAGAGTGTGGGGAGGAGGCGAGGGAAGAGTGACGTTGGTGGTGGTGGTGCTGGTGCTGCTGCTTCTGCTGCTACTGCTGGTGTTGGTGCTGCTGCTGGCGATGCTAATGGTATGGGAGAGGGCACCTGGAGAGGCAGAAGCAGAAGCACTTCAGGGGAGGAGGAGCGTGAAGGCACGGGACAAGGGAATGGTCTGGGGATAAGTGCAGGAGAGAATGTGAGGACGCGACGGGGTGAGGGGCTGCGGGGGCAGAGTGGGATGAGGGATGGGACGAGGATGGGAGGGACGGGAGATGGGAAGAGGTTGGGAGGAATGAGAGCGAGAGTGAGAAGCGGATCAGAGCTGGATAGAATGGGTGAGGAAGCAGTTACTTGTTATTCAACGCAAAAGTCACCTTACAACGTCACAGGGGCAAGAAGCGGACCAGAGCTGGATAGAATGGGTGAGGAGGGGGTTATGGAGATGAGACGAGCAGAGACGCTGCGAGGGGAGGGTGTGAGGAGTAGTCGAGGGGGGAAGGGAGGTGAGAAGAGGGTGGGAGGAATGGTTGCGAGAGTGAGAAGCGGATCAGAACTGGATAGAATGGGCGAGGAGAGCGTTATGGAGATGAGACAAGCAGACACACCGCGAGGGGAGGTTGTGGGGAGTGGTGGGAGGGGAATGGGAGGTGAGAGAGGGAAGGAAGGTGAGAGAGGGAAGGAAGGTGAGAGAGGGAAGGAAGGTGAGAGAGGGAAGGAAGGAGGCAGTGGGATGGAAGGTGTGAGAGGGATGGGAGGTGTTGGGGCCATACGAGTGAGGGCACGGAGTGTGTCTGAGTCGTGTGAGATGGGAAAGAGGGGTGCGGCGGAAAGAGGTGCGGTGGAAAGCGGTGAGAAGAGAGTTGTGGGTCCGTTGGTGGGTGGAACGGATGGGGAGGAGCAACATGCAGTGGTGGTGACGCGACGAGTGGTGGGCATGGAAGCGAGGGCAAGGAATGGGTCTGAGTTATGTGAGATGGCCAATGCGGGGGCAGAAGAGAGAGGTGAGGTTGAGGGTGGTGAAGGGAGAATTGTAGGCGTGTTGGTGGGTGGAGTGAGAGGGGAAGAGCAGCAGCATGATGCTATGGCGATGCGACGAGTGGAGACAATGCGAGGGGAGGGTGTGATGGGTGGTGCAAGTGGGGATGCAGCAGGTGGGGAGCAGCAGCAGCATGCAGCGGTGTCGATGCGATGTGTGGAGACCATGCGAGGGCGGGTTGAGCAAGTGCGGGTAATGCGGGGGCAGCAGCAGATGGCGCAGCAGGGGCAACAGCAGGCGACGCAGCAGGGGCAGCAGCAGAGGCAGCAAGTTGCAGTGCATACCGGCCCAAGGCTGAAAGGCAATGCACCTGCTGCTGCCAGTGCTGCGGAGAGAAAGGGAAGTGGGCGAAGCTATCAGATGCGGCGATCCCGAACCTCCTCGAATCAGAGACTCGGCCACGCCCCCTCCCCTGAAGAGGAAAGTATGGCTGGCGGGGTGGATGGGAAAGGAGAGGGGCAGGTGGGGGAGTTGAGGCGAGCAGAGACAGGAAGAGGAGGGGTGGAGCGAGAGAAGCAGCATCAGGGGGAGCAATGGAAACAGCAGGCTTATCCGCAACAGCAGCAGCAGCAGCAGCAGATGCAGCAGCAGCAGCAGCAGCAACAACAGATGCTAGCGCAGGCAGACCAAAGCAGAAGCTCAGCTGCCCGCAGCAGCAGCTCATATTTTGAGCCTCTGAAAACGGAAGCTGAGGGCAGCACCGCAGAGGGCAGCAGCATTGCCAGGAGCACAGAGGGCGGCAGTCTTGCCAGGACCAGCAGCAGCACCAGCACTACGAGCGGGAGAAGCAGAGGCAGGCACTGCATGCGGCGATCCAAAACGTCCTCCACAGAGCGCCTGCTCTCACTCTCCCTCTCCCCCTTGACAGACCAACCCTGCGCAGAACAGCAACCCGTTTCAGGACCACCTTGTGAAATGGCTGCTGATGGGAGTGAGGCGAGGCGAGGAGGGAGCGTGAGGGAGCGCGGGCGGAAGAAGAGGCTGAATGCTTGGGATGTGTTTGGGGATGAGGAGGACGTGATTGGTCGGGAAGGGCATCTGGTGGTGCTCCAATCCAGTGTTGCCAGGTGTTCCCCTCCTACCGGCTCCCCTCCTCTGGGTTTCGCTCTGAGCGTGTTTGAAAAATTAGCGCCTGCCCGGAGTTTCACATCTGCCCGGGAGGAGGAGGTGGTTGACTCGAGTCCACCGCTGGTGCGGTCAAAATCGGATAGGAGGGTGGCGGGGCGGAGAGGAGCGGGGCGGGAAGATTCTGAGGATTC